TCAGGCAATTCGTTCACCTCAGCCTCCCAAAGGCGCGGGATTACAGGCTGAGCCACCGAGCCCGGCTCTTTTTTTTTTTTTAACTCAGTTTCCAGTGATTACATTTTTGTAGAGATGTGGTGTCACTATGTTGCCCAAACTGGTCTTGAACTCCTGGGCTCAAGCAATCCTCTTGCCTCAGCTTCCCGCACAGCTGGGATCACAGGCATAACCCCCTGGGCCTGGCTTCCGGGGCCTCTTTCATAAGGGCACGAACCCCACTTACGAGGGCTCTGCATTCATGACTTCATCGCCTCCCAAAGGTCACTGCGAGTGAGGTTTCCACATATGAAGTCCACAGCAAACAGAGCGTCCCCTCTTGTAGCAAGGGGGCCCAGCTCCCATGCCCCTGTCTCAGGCAGTTGGCTGGGCAGCACCCTGGGCATCCTGGGAGGGGGTGAGTGCTGCCCCCACCATTTCCAGAGAAGGGACCTCCTTCACCAGTAAGCAATTCTCATAAGAAAATGAGGGAGTGAGCTGGGCGCAGTGGCTCATGCCTGTCATCCCAGCACTTTGGGAGGTGGAGGTGAGAGGATTGTCTGAGTCCAGAGGTTTGAGACCAGCCCGGGCAACTTGGTGAGATCTCGTCTCTACAATAAATCAAAAAAAATTACCAGATGTGGTGACAGGTGCCTGTGGTTCCATCTACTTAGGAGGCTGAGGTGGAAGGATCGCCTGAGCCCAGCAGGTTGAGGCTGCAGTGGCTTTGAGCGTGCCTGGGTGACAGAGTGAGACTCCTGCTCAACAAAAAAAGGAAGAGAAAAAGAAAAGAAAACAAGGGAGTAGGCACCCCTGGGTCTGAGTGAGCTGGCCAGTGGCAGGGCCTGGGCGTGTCCCCACTGGGGGCAGAGATCAAGAATACCTTGTCAATGATAGAACAGTAGGAGAGGAGCATTCTGATTCTCCAGTTCATTCGGTAACGATGGGGCAAATATTTTTTAGGTGCTCATCTGCTAGCTGTGGGGTGAAGGAAGCAGGACACAAAGAAATAGGGAGAGGTTAGGCACGATGACTCATGCCTGTGGTCCCAGGTACTTGAGAGGCCAAGGTGAGAGGACTGCTTGATACCAGGAGGTCAAGAACAGTCTGGGAAACACAGGGAGACCCCATTTCTCCAAAAATAAAAATAAATGATCTTGAGTATGGTGGCACCTACAGTCCCAGCTACTCGGGAGGCTGAGGCAGAAAGATCGCTTGAGGCCAGCAGTTCAAGGCTGCAGTGAGCTACAGTTGCGCCACTGCTCCCCAGCCGGGGTGACAGAGCGAGACCCTGTCTCTGTCCAAAGGAAGAAACACATAAACACAAGTAAAAAGTTCAGATTGTTGGGAGGTGGAGATGGAATCAAGGAAACTTGGAGCAGCAAGTGGGAGATCACAGGTAAGGAGAGTACTTGGACCCCCCGTACAAAGGTGAGCCCTGGGCCCAGTGTTGCTTGGTCAGCTCAGAGTGTGGTCTTCTCCCTGGCAGGAGAGGAGCAGGATGCCCTGGACACATCCAGCGAGGTCAGGTGCCTGGAGGTCGCTGAGCAGCTCCAGCTTCTTTTCACGGGCCTGGCGTCAGGAGTGGTCCTTGTGTTCCCCCTGAGTTCCAGGCAGGATGTGGTGTGCTTTCCCCCACCTGAGGCCCGGAGAGCCGTCAGTTGCATGTCCCTGAGCAAGTGCGAGGACCGGCTGGCCGTCGCCTATGACGACTTCATCCTGGTGCTGGACATTAGGCCTGGAGACCCCTGCCCAGTCATCGACGGGCCCACATACACCTTTAGTACCCAGCTGCCCGAGACCATATCCAGCGTGGCTGTCACGGCCAACGACCGTGTGGCCTACGGCATGAGCCACGGCAGCCTCTTCCTGTACGAGTGTGTGAAGGCCAAGGTGCTCCCTCTGGAGGTCCACAGGAGCAGGGTCACCTGCGTGGAGGTCAGCCACACGGAGCAGCTGGCTGTCAGCGGGTCCGAGGAAGCCCTCCTGTGCCTCTGGGACCTGCAGGCGTGCAAGAAGAAGTTTGAGATGAACTGCACGGTGCGTGGCCCGCCACACCATCTTCATGCTGGGTCTTGGCTTTGGAAAACCGAAAACGGTCAGGTGCGGCCGCTTGTGCCTGTGATGCCAGCACTTAGGTAGAGCGAGGCGGGAAGATCACTTGAAGCCAGAAGTTCGGGACCAGCCCAAGCAACATAGTGAGACTTACAAAAAATAAATTAGCCAGGTATGGCGGTGGTACCTGTAGTCCCAGCTACTTGGGAGGCTGAGGTGGGAGGATCACTTGAGCCCAGGAGATCGAGGCCAGAGTGAGCAATGATTGTGCCACTGCACTCTAGCTTGGGCAACAAAATGAGACCTTGTCTCAAAAAAAAAAAAAAATTCCAAGGATAAACAGTCATCATTTGTTAAGTGCAAACCATGAGCCCCCTACCAGGGCCAGAGCTTAGAGTAAGGAGAGGGCAGCCCTTGCCTTGGGTGTCAGAGATGAAGAGAAATTATATTTTATTATTGATTGATTGAGTTGGTGTCTCACTCTGTTGCCCAGGCTGGAGTGGGGGTGGCACACTCACGGCCACCACAGTCTCGACCTGCTGGGCTCAGGCGATCCTTCCACCTCAGCCTTCCAAGTAGCTGGAACTACAGGCACGCACTACCATAACCAGCTGACTTTTTAACTTATTGTAGAGACGAGGTCTCACCAAGTTGCCCGGGCTGGTCTCGAACCGCAGGCTCAGGCAATCCACTTCCCTCGGTCTCCCAAAGTGCTAGGATTTACAGGCTGAGTCACCAAGCCTGGCCAACAGATGATATTTTAACGTGAGATTTTAAAACAGAAAGCAAATGCCAAAATCTGCACAAAACAAAATTGCAACATTATAGGTGAAAGCTAGATCACAGCTAACATTTGTATAACCAAGGCCATGTAAGGAATAGACTCCTAGCTGGGCTCGGTGGCTCAGCCTGTAATCCCAGCACTTTGGGAGGCTGAGGTGAGTGGATTGCCTGAGCCCACGGATTCGAGACCCGCCTGGGCAGGCGAGACCTCATCTCTACAATAAATCAAAAAATCAGCCGGGCGTGGTAGTGCACGCCTGTAATTCCGGCTACTTGGAAGGCTGAGGCGGAAGGATCGCCGGAGCCCAGCAGGTGGAAGCTGCGGTGGCCGGGAGCGGCCACTGCACTCCAGTCTGGGCGACCGAGTGAGACTCCAACTCAAAAAAAAAAAAAGAAGGAATAGACTCCTATAACTCCTGCACTCCAAAGCAAAATGCCTCTAACCCTTCCACTCCAGTCTCCCTGGAGGCATGCCTCAGTCCTGGGAACAGCGTTGCCACCCGCCTTTCCGGGTTTCCACATGGCCCCTCCTCTGTGGGGCGCTTCACCGCCTGGTGCCTTGGGGTTGGTTTCCTGGGGTTTTTCTGTCTGGAAGCTGGATCACATTGTCTGTTTCCAACAGAATTCCTACTGCAGAGGGGTCCAGTGCGCATGCTTCTCCAAGGATGACAAGTATGTCTACGTGGGCTTGAAGGATCGCTCCATCATTGTGTGGAGTGTGCTAGATGGTGAGTCATTTTGTTTTCAGGGCAGACCTGAGTTTCGGACTGAGAGAAAGGGTCCTGTCCTGGGTCCTGGGTACCAGAGGCCCACTCTGGCCTCCCCTGACTGGGCCTCTCAGCTTAGGGAGGCATCTGCCAGCCAAGAGGAGGTGCCCACACCCACTTCCAGACCATGCTCTGGAACTCTAGAACTCCCTCCCTACGTGACCTGGAGCCCTCAGGCTCAGCCTTCTCGGGGGGGACTTGCCTCTGGTGTGTGCACCCTAAGCCTGGGGGGTGGCCATGGGTGGTATGGAGTTTGGGTGTCTGGGCTGAGGTAGGGGTTCACATGTAGACGGCAAGGGACCTCAAGGTGTGGGATGGAGCTGGGAAGAGCGGGAAGAGGAGGCGGCCACACCACAAACGGTGGGGTGTTGGCCCTCCCACATCACTGTATTCCAGCACTGCACTCTGAGGAGCCCAAGAATTCTCAGTTGGAGCCCAAGAATTCTCAGTTTAATCCCAGTCTTCTGGGTCTTTGTCAACATAGGAGGATAGAGTATATTTTATTTAATAGTTTCTTTGCTAGATTTGCAGTGTTTACATACCGTGTCTTATAGGATGTAGGTCTTGATGCATTCCCTTGTCCCAGCCCTCTACATTTTAGGGGCGACCTGTTTTTTCATCTTCTTTTGAGTTGGAGTCTCACTCTGTCTCCCAGGCTGGAGTACCATGGCACACTCATGGCCACCCCAGTGTCGACCTGCTGGGCTCCAGGGACTCTTCCATCTCAGCCTTCCAAGTAGGCAGAACTACAGGCGCACACTACCATGCCTGGCTAACGTTTTATTTATTGAAGAGATGAGGTCTCGCCAAGTATCCTGGGCTGGTCTCAAACCCGCAGGCTCAGGCAATCCACTTGCCTTGGCCTCCTAAAGTGCTGAGATTTCAGGCTGAGCCACCAAGCCCGGCCAGGGACAGCCTGTTTTAAGGCCAACCACTTGGAAAACCCCATGCTTCTTGATTTGTTCAATCATATGCTAAGATTATATTAGCAAGAGTTAACATTTACTGTGTACTGGGTACTATCCCTTAGTCATTTAATTCTACCAACAGTCGACCATCACCCCACTTTACAGAGTTAAAATCGAGGCTCTGGGAGGCTAGGAGACTTGCCTAAGGTCACATGGCCATTGGGCTGAGGTTTGAATTTGGTCTGCCTGATTCTAGTGCTCACTTTTGTCACTTTCTTATACTGCCTCCTCCAGAGAAGGCCCTCTCCATGCATTACCTCTCTGGACCCTTACGATGCTGGTAGGGGATAAATGTCATTGTTATCCTTGCTTGACAAATGAAGGAGATGAGGTTCAGAGAGGTTCGGGGATTTTTCCCAAGATCATAAAACAAGTAAGTGGCTGAATGAATATCAGGTAGAGCCTGATACACTGTAACTTAATACAGTGTGATTGAATACACTGTAATCTAACACACTGTGGTCAAACTTACCATAATCTTATACATTGTAATTTATTATAGTGTAATCTAACTATTATAATGTAATAGTTGAATGCAATACACTGCAACAAATATAACTGGTAAAAAGTCACAGATGGTTAAAAGCTGAGCTCTGAGGATTGTGGCCTTAAAAGCCCATCCTAGACAGGTTTACAAGCTCTCTTCCTTCTCCTCTTCCAACAATATTAACTATGCTCACTCTGAACCTAAAGCATATATTGAGCACCTGACATGGTGATGTCTTCAAACCTCCAAAATTCCCCTGGGAAAGTAGGTGCTTTTATCATTTCTGCTTTGCAGACGAAGAAAGAAGGATCCAGAGAGGTTAAATGTCACGTCCAAATTAGTAAGGAGCATAGCAGGAATTTGACTCCATGCAGCCAACTCTCGAATATGTAGGATTGGACCTCTGTATCTTAGTTTTCTCATTTGTACCCTGCCCTTTGCCTCCAAAGGCACTCTGCTGGCTATCCAGTTTGTCCATGCTGTGGTAAACAGAATCATTTCAACCGCCAACGGCTTCATTGCCCCCACCAGACACGGTTATCTCATGCGAGAGCGTTTCCAGTGTCCTTCATCAAGAGCCTCACAGCAGAACCCTCGCAAGAACTTCAAGAAGGCAGTGTGGATGGTCAAATCCAGGCGGAGAGAAGAGCTGGCTGCAGCTGCAGGAATACCCCAGGACTTGGAGTCAGAGAGTGCCCAGGCCAATGAATCCAAAGCAAACAAACGTTCGCAAGTCTGCCTGATAGTGTAGAAACCCCGGGTGGGGGCACGGGGTTCCAACGAATTCGCTCCGTTTAATCTGACTGAAATAAAGCGAATATACTTGCTGGTCTCAGATGATGTGACCCACACCTCTCCTCCTCCCATCTTTCCATTCTCTCCTCCTTGCCCGTCTGCCTCTCAGACCTGCCGCCTCCCAGTTAGCAACATGGTGGACCACGTGCGGTCATCTGCACCTTCAACAGAAAAGGGAGCTTCCCCTTCCCCATAGTCCTGGCCTCACCTCTATTGGCCCCAATTGGCTCATGTGCTCATCCCTGAACCAATCACTGCCTCCGAAAGAATGCAGTGCTGTGATTGGCTGGACTGACCCAATGCCCATCTCTGGGTCTTAGAATGGAAACAAGTACTCTTCAGAGGCCAATCTGGGGCTAAATGGGTGTGAGACAAACCATTGATGCAGTCTACAAAGTTTTACAATCTACAAAGCACCAGGTGCTGTCATCTGATCCACATCATAGCGTATATTTGAGGGAGGGCAGGAGTCTCTGCCTCCATTTTACAGCTGAGGGGACTGAGCCTTGTAGATGTAGTTCCTGACTCTGGCTAAGAATCACATGAGGAGATCATCCCGCGGTCATCAGGTCTTTCTGTCGTAATAAACAAAGCCAGAGACCCAGACTCCTATGAGAAGATTGTGCCCATTTCCAACAGTTGATAACTGACTCAAATGTATATCTTTTGGCCTGTGTATCTTTGGTTCGTGAACTGACCTCATGACTCAAGCTGGCATTAAAACAATACACATGTTATAGTGCTTCCATCCCTATTCCCTGGCTTCTACCCTTTTAGGATAAAGAGGCTCTTTTAAATCTTGGAAGCAGACAGAGCTGCTAACATCTCTCTGCTCCACTTTTGGGCCATCTGCCTTGTGTGAGCTCAGCAGTTGAACTGTTTTCATCCCACTTAAGCGGCTCTTTCTTCTCTGCCCACAGCCTTGGAAAGCCCCACCGGCTCCCAGGTTTTTGATAGAACAATAGTTGAGTCCAAATCTTCAGGGTGCTGTTTCTTCTTTCCTCCATCGAACTCCAGATGGAGTTTCAGGGAAAGCAACCTTAGAAACAGAGACTTTGAACTGAAGGAGACCCTGCTGACTTTCTCATCTGTTCATTTCTCAAACCAGGGCTCTGAGACAGGCTTTGGCAGTTCTGCAAATGTTAGCATCAGATTCCACTTTTTAAATATTTTGAGCTGTTATTTTAAAATGCATGCTCACAAAAAGAAAAAAAGAAACAAATGCATGCTCACTGGGAGTTTGAGATCGACCTGGGCAACATAGCAAGACCCTGTCTCTACAAAAAAATTAAAAATCAAACTGGGCATGGTGGTGTGCACCTGTAGTCCCAGCTACTTGGGAGGCTGAAAAGGAAGGAACGTCTGAGCCCAGGAGGTCGAGGCTACGGTGAGCCATGATCGTGCCACTGCACTCCAACCTGGGTGACAGAGTGGGATCTCAACTCCAAGAAATAGATCAATAAATAAAATTAAAATAAAATGCATGCTCAGATGTGCTTGGCAGCAGCTTTGAAGACACTGGAGATTACTAACTTAGGGTTGTTCTGCCAGTTCCCTTTAACTGAAGTTGTGAGGAGAGCCCTTGAAAAAAATAGCTACTGGCCGGGCTCGGTGGCTCAGCCTGTAATCCCAGCACGTTGCGAGGCCGAGGTGAGTGGATGGCCTGAGCCCACAGGTTCGAGACCCGCCTGGGCAACTTGGCGAGACCTCATCTCTACAATAAATCAAAAATCAGCCGGTTGTGGTAGAGCGTGCCTGTAGTTCTGGACACTCAGAAGGCTGAGGCGGAAGGATCGCCAGAGACCTGCAGGTCGAGGCTGCAGTGGCTGGGAGCGGGGCCACTGCACTCCAGTCTGAGTGACAGTGAGACTCGGACTCAAAAAAAAAAAAAAGAAAAAAATAGCTACTGTTTGTTACCATTTCCCTGTGAATTAGGGGTGGACCCCATGCAAAAACAAAGTGGATGCTGAGACCAAGTAAGATTTCATCTACAACTTCTGGCTTAAATTTCTGTATCCTTCTTAACAGCCTCAGTGAGAATTGCTTTGTACTAAATCCTAATTTGAACAGAGGAAATAAATTTTTACTAATAAAATGCTACTCCAATTATTGCTTATGTTGTTGTTTCTATTTTTTTTTTTTAACTTTAGAGACAGGATCTCACTCTGTCGTCCAGGCTGAAGTGCAGTGGTGTGACCATAGCTCACTGCAGCCTCAAACTCCTGGGTTCAAGGGATCCTCCTGCCTCAGCCTCCTGGGTAACTGGGATTATATGCCACCACCATACCGGCTACTTTGTATTTATTTTTTGTAGAGATGGTGTCTCCCTATGTTGTCCAGGCTGGTCTTGAACTACTGGCCTCAAGCGATCTCCCTACCTCAGAAAATACTGGGATTGCAGGCCTGAGTCACTGTGCCTGGCCTGTATTGGGGGTTTTTGCAGTGAGGTTTCATTTGAGAAAGAGTTTGGATGCTATGAATGTTCAACAGTCACTGTGCTTTGGAGAGGATTGGTTTGCTGGGGTCCTCCCAGCTATGGCACAGCCAAGATGAGACAATGGTTATTTTGCTTTCTTACAGCTAAAAATGACCACATGATGAATCACCCAAAGTGTGACATATTTTGAGAGTAAAGTGGACACTTTTCACAATTACTCCTGATGACAGAAATGAACTGGACTGTCCCAAGACTGTTGGAATAGACAGCCCTCTGGTTGCAGCAGAAATGGATTCATGCTAAATCCTGAAGACTTTGTGTTTATTTCCTTATATCAACTTTGTCCTTCATGACATGTTCAAGCCTGTGCGAAGTGACCACACGAGGATGGTGACGGCACATCTACTCACTGTGGAGTCAGTCATTGCCTTGTCACCACCAGTTCCCTGTGCTAAGCCACTTTCCAGCGAGGGCCAGGGCTGGGGTAGGCTCGTGAGGGCACAAAATTTAAGGGTACCAAAACTCAGCAATCAAGACAAGTAATATTTTATTATTATCATTTTTTTTTTTTGAGTTGGAGTCTCACTCTGTCGCCCAGACTGGAGTGCAGTAGCCGCTCCTGGCCACCGCAGCCTCGACTTGCTGGGCTCCGGCGATCCTTCCGCCTCAGCCTTCTGAGTAGCTGGAACTACAGGCGCACGCTACCACGCCCAGCTCATTTTGATTTATTGTAGAGATGAGGTCTCGCTGCCCAGGTGGGTCTCGAACCCGCAGGCTCAGGCAATCCACTCTCCTCAGCCTCCCAAAGGTATTATTATCATTTTTAATAAAAAAATCAAAATGAACTTTTTTTTTTTTTTTTTAAGAGATGGGGGTCTCACTATGTTGCCTAGGATGGCCTCGAAAACTTCTGGCCTCAAGTGATCCTCCAACCTTGGCCTCCCAAAGTGCTGGGATGACAGGCATGAGCCACCATGCCCGGATGAATTTTTAAAATGAACGATAAACAAAGAATCAGCACTTTACATAACGCCACAATTTCATCCTGCACTTGCAGGAACTGGCCTCATCCTCTCATCCTCAGCCTGGCCCTGACAACATCAAGACACCTCATTCCCTGCATAACTGCAGAATGGCCTTTTAGGAAGGTCACTCTCCTTCATGACCCCACACACCTGTGAGAGCCATCAGTCGTTATTTAATATATTTCAATAGGCATCTCAGCCCAGGAACATCTTTAATAGCCTTAGTTAGATCTATTAACCGTAAACATGTCTTTTATAACCATTTGTTTCAAACTAGGACCCAATCAAGATATGTTCAGACATTGCATTTGACTGTCTTGTCTCTTCTTTAAAAGTTTATTATATTACATTTTTATTTTTTGTAGAGACAGGGTCTTGCTATGGTGCCCAGGCTGGTCTCAAACTTCTGGCCTCAAGCGATCCTTCTGCCTCGGCCTCCAAAAGCCCTGGGATCACAGGCATGAGTCGCTATGTCCAGCTGGGATTCAGCTGACGTCTCATATAAATCACACAGATTAATGAGCATTGACTCAATGACACATCCGGGAATCCATCATCACGATCATGATAACAATCAGATCCATCATCCCGGAAGTTTTCTCATGCATTTTACCTGGGGAGATTTTCAAAACCTTTTGAAATCCCCATCCCTGCGCAAGAGAACCATCTGGGGTGATGGAAGTGTTCTGTATACTGATGTAGGAGGTAGTCACATGGGTGTCAAAGCTCTTAAGTTGTTCCCTTAGGATGTGTGCACTTGACTGTGTACACAGCATACTTCCATGCTACAACCTGGAATGTGGACATGATGGCTGAAGCTCCCGCAACCATTCCGTGACTTGAGATAATCTTGGGCACAGAAGTCACACATGACAGAGTCACAAGATGGAAGGCACTCAAGTGTCTAACTTTTGCACACCTTACACCCCTCCACAGGAGAAAGAAATACATTTCTATCTTGTTTATGCCACTATTTTAAAAAATCCCAACACTGCATAGAGTTAGTCACTGAATCTTTACAACGGTCCCAGGAAATAGGCATTGTTGCTCTTCTAATTTTATTTATTTAACACTTTATTTGGTAGAGATGGGGTCTCACTATGTTGCCCAGGCTGGTTTTGAACTCCTGGCCTCAAGCAAGCCTCCCATCTCGGCCTCCCAAAGTGCTGGAATGACAGGCAGGAGCTACTGCACCGGCCTGTTTTGTCCTTTTATATTCTAGAGCAGAGGGCAACAGGCTACAGCCCACAGCCCCCCCCCCCCATTTTTATAAATAAACTTTTCTTGGAACACAGCTGTGCTCACTTACTGCCTGCAGTTGCTTCCATGCTACAATGGCAGGTTGGGTACTTGTGACAGAGGATGTACAGCCTCAAAGTCAAAAGTATTTATGGGCCTGGCTCAGTGGCTCAGCCTGCCATCCCAGCACTTTGGGAGGCCAAGGTGAGTGGATTGCCTGAGCCCGCGGATTCGAGACCAGCCTGGGCAACTTGGTGAGACCTCATCTCTACAATAAAACAAAAAATTAGCCAGGTATTGTAGCACACGCCTGTAGTTCCAGCTACTTGGAAGGCTGAGGCAGAAGGATCGCCAGAGTCCAGCAGGTCGAGGCTGGGGTGGCTGTGCATGTGCCACTGCACTCCAGTCTCTGCAACTAAAAAAAAAAAAGCATTTAAAATCTGCCCTTTAAGAAAAAAAAAGTGCCAATCCTTGGTCTAAAGTCTTCATTAGATTTACGGTAAACATTTTTTTTTTTTTGAGTTGGAATCTCACTCTGTCGCCCAGACTGGAGGGCAGTGGCCACT